TTAATAGAAATCGAATGCTTTTGAATCGTGCTCTGAAAACATCATCAACTAGAGGTGCATGGCATCGTGGCTTAAGGCCAATTGCTCGAACTTCCCGTACTTTAATGAAATATTCAAGAAATTTTAAACGTTTTCAAATATATTATTACAAATACTGTAACTCATTATTTTTGCTATCTTGTTTTATCTGAGCAAATCAAATGTAATCATAAATCAATTTATCTCCAGAACATTAACAATCGTCATTTCATATCAAATTCAATTTAAAAAAAAATAGTTGCCTATATTTGCACAAAAATTGATAAAGTGCTCCGCAGTCCTAAACGCAATTTTGAAAAATAATTCTGTGCGACATTTTCACTTTACTGTGTTTAGCTTGGCGGCATTTTCACATTTTTCAATAGTTCTATTCAGAATAGAACATCTATTGTGATTAATTTTTGCTACTAAAAATATTTTTGCTAGTCTTAAAAATATAATAGTTGAAATGTCGATATATAAATTTTGAACAATTTTTAATAATTTGCAAATATCATAATAGTTTGAAAATTTGTAAATTTAAAAAAAGTAATTCAGTGCATTTAATTTGTAATTCAATAACTCCTTCTCCTTTTGGAAACACATTCATAATTTTGTATTAATCAATTGCTTATTAGTCTGTGATTAATTTAATACCGATTAAATAAAATATGTGTAGTTTTTTAATTCTTATTATAGAAAAATTACATTTTTTTTAAATTTAAGAATTAAAGGTTTATCTATTTAGAAAAAATAATCGGAACGGAATGTAACTTATATTTATTGAAACTACTTGAACCTTTTTCAATCTACTTTCTAATTGCAGAAAGATACTACGCATTCCCCATTCCTCGTGCAGCGATGATTCGCACTTAAACGGTTAAAATTGCTGGCTTTAATTTAGACTTTTTTAATGATACTTTTTTAGTTTTAGACAAATTGAATTAAGATTAAAGATAAATTCAGTTAACCCCTTAACTTAAAATGACGAGCAGAGCCCGCGTGCGATTGCTAGGCCAAAAGTGAATATTACGGGCATAACCCGCGTACGATATTAGGGAAAGAAGCAAATATTACGCATTTCGGGCATGGCCCGGTATGGTGAACGCAAGTATTACAAAATATTTTTTCATACAAAACTATAAAACACAAAATTATTTTTACTTTTGTGATAAACCGTACACTATGCGAGAAAATAGTGACAAACGCCGCGCCAGCTTGAACAACTTTGGGCCGACATTTTCGAATCTAAATCGTAAGTTAAAGGGTTAACAGTTAAATTTAATCTCTACCCCTCATAAGAAAAACTATGCAAATTTTAAGGAATTTACAGAGACTTACTATTATATAATATCTTCTGTATAGTCTTTATTGTTTATGTTAATTAATCAGAATCTGATGACATGGTAGATCCAACATTTTCTGAAACTCGCCGATCATTTTTTACGCTATTTGAGAAATTTCCTCGATAACACACATAATTTTTATCAGTCTCCCTTAAACGAACTTCATGCAGCAGTTCTGGACGAGGTAGTAAACTCTTCAAACTGTTCCAAATAAATATCGCAAGATTTTCAGTCGTACTTATCTAAAAAAAAAATCGATCGTTAGAAAGTATCATTACACACACACACACACACACACATATATATATATATATATATATATATATATCTTGATAGTTTTTTCGACGTTGAAACATATTTCAAAGTAACTAGCAGCCCATTCGTCAAAATAAAAAAGGTATAAAGTATGAAAACTTTTATTTATACGTTTCGACACAAGATGCGTGTCATCATTCAGCAACACAGGACAAAAACACTCAATAAAAACTTTATTTTAAAAAATTAAACTGATAACATATTAGAAACTCAACTCAACTGTGACAGTTGAGTATGGTGCTCGGTATGGGCGTGTTTCTTGCCTCACAATGTTAAATTTCAAAACTTTTAGTCAAATTAGTTTTCAAATCTTTTAGTTATTCATAATTTTTTCTACAAAAATGTTTTTTTCTAATATGTTATCAGTTTAATTTTTTAAAATAAAGTTTTTGTCCTGTGTTGCTGAATGATGACACGCATCTTGTGTCGAAACGTATAAATAAAAGTTTTCATACTTTATACCTTTTTTATTTCGACGAATGGGCTGCTAGTTACTTTGAAATATATATATATATATAATATATATATATATATATAAAAGGTTTTTTAATAAACTATTTCTTTATTTATTTATTTATTTGCTGTCGACGTTTCGGAACTAGGTACGTTCCATCTTCAGTACATCTGTCAAGAAACATGATCTTGATGAAATTTAAGCAAACAATATGTTTAAGAAAAGAAAATGGATTTTTCTTAAATAATAAATTAGTTGAAAAAATAAAATAATAATGTACAGAAATATAGTAATATGATCAAAATGAAAATGATAAAAATAAATTACAAACAGCCGATCTCATAACATCGAGAGAATAATATATTGTTTGGTTTTCAAATAACGATTTTAAAAAAGACAGAACTTATAGTAATTTTGATTTACTAAATTTACCTATTCGGCTGACAAATAACTCATAAATTCAATTTTTGATAAAATCTTTTTTAGTGAAAAAGTAATAACGTATATTCAAACATACAGGTAATTAATTCAATTCTGTCATTAACCTTTTCTTAAAATTTTCCAAAACTTTCAAATTTTTTTTATCATTTGTAATATCCTGTTATATAATCCACTCATTTATTTTTATCATTTTTATTTTGATCATATTACCATATTTCTGTACATTATTATTTTATTTTTTCAACTAATTTATTAATTAAAAATCCATTTTCTTTTCTTAAACATATCGTTTGCTTAAATCTCATCAAGATCATGTTTCTTGACAGATGTCCTGAAGATGGAACGTACCTAGTTCCGAAACGTCGACAGTGAATAAATAAATAAAGAAAGAAATAGTTTATTAAAAACCTTTTTTTTTTGTTTTTTTATTACTTTTTGGATTCTTGTTCGAAACTCTACAAAATATATATATATATATATATATATATATATATCGATATTCAAAAAAAAAAAATTTTTATAAAAAAAATTTTGAAAAAAAAATTAGAAACAAAATTTTTTTTCCAAAAGCAATTATTTTGTTGAAACAAGCAGAAAGTTCTTTGAATCATTAAAATCGGACGCTTAGTTCTCTCAAAAACTGCCATTTTTTGTACATTTAGCTTCGTATCTTCGAAATAGCTGGGCCTGCCTTTGCGAAAAACTAATAACCACTTCTCCCAATCATTACTAATTGAATGTTTGTAGATCATTCAAATCGGATGCTCCGTTCTCTCAAAAACTCGATTTCTATTTTCTGCACTCTTTGCTCTTTATCTCCGTAACTGCTGGACCTGCCTTTGCCAAAAACTAATCAGCACATCTCCTTATCAATAGGAATCGAATGTTTTTTGAACCATTCAAATCGGTTGATCCGTACGCCCGAAAACGTGGGCGAAAAATTGTATCCATACATACATACACACACACACACATACATCCATTTTTTCTGAAGTATGCCAAAATGTTCAGAAACCTTCAAAACGTCGAGAAATGTAAAAATTTTCAATTCCGATTTTCGGCCCATTACAATAACTTAAAGGAAGTTAAAAAATAGTATAAAGAAAAGTATAAACTGTTATCAAACTTCTAATCAGAATTCTGATTCTAATCAGAATCTATTCACACTCCAGTGCCTCATTTTTAATTTTAGAGGGATTTTAGGAAATAATAGCTACATCATTCAACCAATGCAAATATAAATTTTATGGGTACATTTTTACAGTGATACTACATTATATAACATTGATCTGGTATTTTGCCAGAAATAATAATTAGCAGATTTGGAATACCTATTTATTTAACTTATCATTTATGAAATTGATTTTTTTAAACTTAGATTTCTTGGGTTTTCACTATTTTTCTTGTTTACACCTTTGCCAGGGTAAAGATTCAGATGGTACTTTTTACGATACCCACATGTACCCTGTTATATTAGTTGTGTAAAAAAACTAATGAATCTAACTTAAAAAAAATAGCAATACATCTTATAAAACATTTGAATTACGTGGACTTATTCAAAGTCTCGTAATCTAAATAACAGTGCTCACAACCAAAAAATTAAACATAAATTTCTCCTTCGGGAAGTTAATAACTAAAGAAAATACATTTTTTATGTCGATTATCACCCATTACCTCCCACGTCGTAAAATTCAAGGTGATGGCTGATCACACATCTTTATCCATCTTTCAAATATTGTTATTAACTAGTGGTGTATGGCATCGTACCTTAAGGCAAATTGCTGGAACTTTCCGTACCGTAATGAAATATTCGAGAAACTTTAAACGTTTTCAAATATATTATTAGAAATACTGTAACTTTCATTATTTTTGCTATCTTGTTATATCTGATCAAATCAAATGTAAATCATAAATAAATCAATTTATCTCCAGAACATTAACAATCGTCATTTCATTTCGAATTCATTTTCAAAAAAATTGAAAGTTGCCTAATTTACACAAAATTGAAAAAGTGCTAGTCACAGTCTAAACGCATTTGCAAATAATTCTGTGCGACATTTTCACTTATACTGTGCTTAGCTTGGCGGCATTTTCACATTTTTCAATAGTTTTCACAAAATTGGAAAAGTGCTCCAGTACATAAACAGTCTAAACGCACTTGGGTAAACATTTGTACCAGAGTGGCGTTTAGACTGTGCTTAGCCTGGGTAATTTTTTGAATTTTTAATCCAAAATTACAAAAATATTTTTTGAATAAAAAAATTAGAAACATTTTTTTTCCAAAAGCAATTATTTTGTTGAAACAAGCAGAAAGTTCTTTGAATCATTTAAATCGGACGCTTAGTTCTCTCAAAAACTGCCATTTTTTCAACATTTAGCTCCGTATCTCCAAAACCGCTGGGCCTACACATCCATTTTTTCTGAGGTATGCCAAAATGTTCAGAAACCTTCAAAACGTCGAAAAATGCAAAAATTTTCCCTACGTGAAGTTAAAAAATTCTGAACTTCACTTGTTTTTGAGATATCGGTGGTGGACCTTCTTACCCGCGGACTTTAAAGCCCCTGCTCTATCCTATAACATTCCGAACAACTAACAATAATATGTTTTAAATAATTATATAAAGTAATATATAAAAATATTTAACAAATTCATTAAAATCACAACAAAAAATAAAGTTTTTTCTAACAATGTATGCACAGATAAAATATGATGATTAAAATTTCAATAGTTGAATACATCAATAAAAATATTCAAAAGACTTCTTACCACACTTTGAAAATATGGGACATCCTTATCTAAATTCTTGTGATCTAGAGGCTGCATAATTGCTTCATCCATATATTTCTTCAGTTCTGAGATATTCATAACCATTCCTGTGTGCGGATCAACAGGCCCTTTAAGAACTACTTCGACTGAAATTAATTTCGGTTTAAGTTCTAAAAATATTGCTTATTTCATATTTTTTTTTCTTAAAATTAAATCATAAATTCTATCATAACAAAACTGCATTAAACGCAATTTACCTTATCCCAAAAGAAATACCCATACACTATTGGCAGACATTTATAATAATATAATTCAAATAATATTGTTAATAAACTAGTTGGTAATAAGTACTCTATGTTATATCAAGTAAATCGTCTAATTTTAATTATAACAAACGTCAAAAAAACACTCATTTTCTCAAACTTTGATGAATTTTTAAAACTAAACTACTTGTCGGCCGTAATATTTATTACTAATAAGTTTTATAAGACCATGATATATATCGCCAAAAAAAAGTTCCATAAAAATCGGCTTAAATTTTTTTCAACAGTTAATTACAAGAAAATTCCCAAATTATATCTTTCGAACAGTTTTTGATTTTTTAAAATCGATTCGGTAGTATGAGCTCAAATGTGGACGAAAAGTTTAACACTTTTTTACCAAATTACAAAGAAATGGCTCGGCCGATCGCTGCACAAAACTGAGAAAAGATAATCTACATCAAATACATCGATTGGCTTTTAAATGTTTGAAATTGGTTCAGGCGTTTTTGAGCAAACGTCGACGAAAGTTATAATTTTGACAAAAGCCAAACAATCGACACTAATTTTTGCAAACTTTGACGATTTTTTTAAAATTAAACGACTTGTCGAAGACCGTAATATTTTAGTATGATCTATAAGACTATGGTATCTACCGTCAAAGAAAAATTCATAAAAATCGTCAAAAAAAAATTTTTTTTAATACTTTATTACAAGAAAACGGCCCGTCCGATCTTTACCAAAAACTAATCAGCACGATTCCCAACCGATGTCTTTCGAACGGTTTTTGAATTTTCAGAATCGATTCAGAATTGCGGGCTAAAACGTGGACGAAATTTTTTTCACTTTTCTGCGATTTACAAAGAAACGGCCCGGCCGATCGTCGCACAAGACTGAGAAACGCTAGTCCTCATCGAGATACATCGAATGGCTTTTAATTTTTGAAATCGGTCGAACCGTTTTTAAGAAAACGTCGATTTACGGCAAAAAATCTGTTCACAAACACGCACACACACACATACACACACACAAACTTTTTCCAAATTTGTTCTCACTCGATTCAGAATGGCTTGAAACGTCGAGAAAACATAAAATTAGCGAATCGGATTTTTTGATAAAAACATAAACTTCTCCTTCAGGAAGTTAATAAACTTTAACTCATTTTATTTATTATTCAATTTTATGTGTAATACTACACAACAATTTTTACAAACATATCTTGTTTCGGTCAGCAACGTTCGGCCATAATAACACGAGTTAACTCGAGTCAACTAACAAAAATAGAGTATAGATAAGTACCATAGAAAATTAAGGGGGTATTTGGGTGTATATTCTAGTGTAGAGCGATGAATTTTAGGTCATTTTTAAAGTATCGTAAAAGAAGGCAATGAATGTTTTTACTATCCATTTTTTACCACTTGTTTATTAATATTATTAAAATACAATACAAAAATTAAAAAATAAAGTTGAAAATTTTAAAAACTGGCAGCTGATGAAGTGGGTGGTCTCAAAAAATTGGCACCTCAGTCTTGACATGATTTTAGCCCTCCTAGCCATACGAAATAAAAGAAATAAAAAGATTATTAATCTACAATGATGTCGCAATCGCCCGAACTAGTGATGAGTAAAAAAAATTTTTTTTACAAATTGGCACCTGTTTGAAAAAAAAGTATTTTTTTTTCTTTCTTTTACTGTTTTTATGATTTTCTCAAATTTTTTAAAAATAGTAAAAATTGGAATTTGGGGATAATCTTAGTTCGGGCTATAGATAGGTCTATAAACAAGACTCTCTGAAAATTTCAGGTGAATCGGTCGATTAAAACTCGAGAAATCGTGTCAACAGTACTGAAAAAGTCTGTTCTGAGAAAAACGCATTTAAAGTTTTGCGTGAAACCAAACCAGTATGGAAACCGAGTCAGTAAAATGCCTATATCTCCGAAAATTATTCAAATTTTCAAAAACCTTCTCATACCCATATTCTTAGATAGTTAAACTATGAAAATATGAAATAATAAAATGATTTTTTGAATTTATGCAATAGAATATCATCCCCTTAAAGGTAGAGGATGATTACGAAGCCTAGGTGTTCTCTTAGGTTTGGAAATCGCGGTACTATCAGTACAAATAGTACTGAAAAGTCGTCATAATATAGATAATGCATAAACAAAGAATTAATTTACTTGAGACTTTCGTGTTTAAAATCAAATTCTATAAATATTTTTAAATAAACTTGAATTATGAATAAAACAATGAGATTTGCTAAAATAATAAGTTACCTGTATAATTATGACCATGACCATTATAATTGTTGCATTTTCCATATAACGCTTCATTTGCCTCCGGAGATAACAATAAGCTGAAAAATATAATGTATAAATGACATTACATAAATACTATTAATATATTAATATTTAATATATATATATATATATATATATATATATATATATATATATATATAGTCCTTTTGGTGGTCAAAAATGATCATTAGACATATGCATATCAAATTATCAGATATTTTATAGAGGTTTTCATAATGTTGTACACATTTTGTGTAAATTTTATTGGGATCCGTACCAAGATTTTTAATTTTGAAGTTTATTTATATGGTCCAAACAAATGTACTCGACATTTTCGACAGTATGGAATAACCGATTTGGATAATTTAAAAATAATTCGATTCGTATCGATAAGGAGACGTACTTCATCTTGTCAATACAAGTAAAATGTTTTTTGAATTATTAAAATTATTTTCTTAAAAACTGAGTTACCGTTTTTGGCACTTTTTGCCCCGTAGCTTCAGAACGGCTAGACCCGCCTCCGCCAAAATCTAATCAGCACGTGTCCTTATTAATAGGAATCGAATGTTTTTTGAATGATTAAAATCGGTTGAACCGTGTTCCCGAAATAGTCGACGAAAATTTGTAACCGCCCGCACACACACACATACATCCGATTTTTCTAAGGTATGCCAAAATATTCAGAAACCTTTGAAACGTCGAGAAATGCAAAAAATTTTATTTTCGATTTTTTTGCGATTACTATAACTTGCCCTACGTGAAGTTAAATATTTAGAATCACCTGTGCAATCGATGACAAGCGCTGAACGTTTCTTTCCTGGTGAGATAAATCACTGGCAATGACATTGTAAATGTGGTTTTTCAATACCTGCAAATTTTATTATGTTTGAATATAATTTTTATATAAAAAATACAATAACAGATTTTACACACACATGCACATACACACACACACACACACATATCTTATATATAAAATTCTTCTGTAACAATGTAAGTTTCATTAATCCTCCTAAACTATAATTTGGATTTTCACGAACCTTCCTGAAGTTTGTTCGAGAAATTTTCTAGAATGTTTTGATTCATAGAAATATAGTTAGATTGTAGAAATAAATGGAAAAAATTACAAAAAACCGCTTATCATTGTTTGACCTTTAAAATATTTAAGGCACGGTTTGACATTAAAAACAAATGACAACTTTCATTTTTCAAACATTTCTATTCACTTATAGGCTAAGGCAATATTAAAATATAATAAATTCATGAATAAAAATAAAGAAAATGTAATGTCTACATTATTATTGTCGAAAAGCAACTGAGATGTGCCATAATTAAAATAATATAAGATGCAAATAATATAACATTCGTCTGACAGTCTGCGCGTACGACTGACGCGCACGGCGAATCGTGTTCTCAACGTGCGCGTGGTTTTGCTTGCAATAATTTTGTTAGCGCACTTTGCGAACAGATTCGCCGTACGAATTCATCCAAAGGAGACGAGCCATAAGTGATTACGCGCAAAAATATTCAATTTGCAGTCGTTTTGCCTTACTATACTATGTCACAATACAAAAAAAAATTACTCATTCAAAAAATTATTTAGAACTTTCATTGTGTTAAAAATTCATATGGTTGGCATTGGGTACGGAATATTTACTCAATGGAGCGCTTTGGGTCTGAACTTTTTTTACTGTTTTCCAATTCGTTTGGAATTTTGGAATTAGGCTCATCTTACTCTCAAGCTCAAAAGTAAAAACAATTTAGACTCCTTTGCACTACCCGGGGGGATGCCATTTCTTTTCAGTGGTGTAATAACGTTGGGTGTGGATAAAAGAACTAATTAAAAGAGAAATAATGTTTTTCAAAGAAGCAAATACTTTTCAAGTTACTGGCTACTGAAAATTTGTTTCTTTTTGCGTTTTTTATCGTTTTTTGCTAATATCTTCAAAAATATACATTTTAACGAAAATTATGTAATGAACAAAATTATATCAATAAAAATCCTAATAAATCGCTATTTTACAGTATTCTAGGAACAATACTAAGTTAATTATGAAAATGGGTTTTTATAGTTCTCAAAATAAGCTTCAAAAGAAGTACTTCTGCGTGTAAAATGAGTGAGCTATCATGCAATTAAAAGATGCATACAATGTTTTTTTTTTCATTTAAATCAAATAGTTTATGAGTGCCATACGTATAAAAGTATATACGAGGTCTGTTCAAAAAGTTTTCGTAATTTTCGTTTTTTTTCAAAAAAATATTTATTTATTCGTCTACATTAATGTGGTCCCCTTCAAAGTAGTCCCCCCCAGATATAATACACTTATGCCAGCGTTTTTTCCAATTTTCGAAGCACCCTTGATATTCACTTTTTGATATGTCCTTGAGCACTCTCGGCGATTTTCTTCAATCGAGGAAAACCGCCGTCCTTTCATGGGTCTCTTCAACTTTGGGAATAGGAAAAAGTCACACGGAGCCATATCTGGTGAATTTTTGCACTTTGCAACACTTTATTTCATTTTTTACGCAAAATTTAATACAAATTCTTTGACTTTTTCAATTCTTCCATTGTAAAAATCGCCGAGCTCAGAAAAACACGTCGAACCTTAGCGACTACCACAGACAAAGTAAACAGTGAATATAGCTGAAAATTTCATCATACTTTAGGGGCATGTATACCAACACAATAAAAAAAAATTTTGACAATCAGACACTCCAGACCCGCGAAATTTAATTATTAGTAATTCCGGGTACTTTTTGAACACACCACGTATATGAAAATTCATGGTATTTTTCAGACTAATTATTGCTTTTTATTATATTTTTGTTACACAAATATTGATAGAGTTATGATTGTTTAAAGAGTGCGCGGCTGTCCAACCAGAGTGTATTTCGAGCCCTTTAACCCTTCGCCGTTTCAAAATAAGAGAAGTTACGGTAAAATTTATGATAGAGTAAGTTGTAGCTCATTTAATCACCTTTAAAATAGTATATTACAAGTTATGATAAAATCAGAATTAAAAGAGTTATAATCCAATTAATGCTGGAAATGCAAATTATTTTCACTTCTGAACTTTAGATTAAGATAAGCTGGGCATACGCCTTTTTCCTCTCCATTTACTGCAATAATTTTGTTGGTAGTAGGTTGAATAGAGCAGATTTGAGCAAAATTTGACAAATTAATTCACTTCAAATATGAACTTAAGTAATAATGTATATTGAATTATTAGTGTGAAAAATGCAATTTAGATATTAAAATACTAAAAGCCAGTTAAAATATGGTACGAAATTATAAAAATTGTAGGCAACATTATTGAAGCAATTATTTTGGGTAGAAAAATCCAAGGTGATATTGTACCTTGACCGCATGCTATATATTAATTATTTCTGAATTTGTTATTCTTTTCAAAAGATTTCAATTTTCAACATCTTTGCTATGACAATAAATACATGGTGATAAATTTGGAAAATCAATGTTTTAGCCGTGAATAAACAAAAAATCATTCATTTAAACATCCACATTTACAGGTATGTCTAAAAATATTGTATAACCCTTAAATTCAATAAAATAAATTGAGCTATTGGAAATAAATTTATTCTATAAATCACAGTGTATAATTTTTAATATATAATTTTATTGAACATATTTTAATATTTGTTAAAGGGATATAGATTAGTGTAAATAGTAACTCGAAAACAGTGATTATTTTTAACTGAACGGTATAAATATTAGTATAGGATATTAAAAAAACGTAGAGGTGGGTACAGGACAACGTCTGTCGGGTCATCTAGTATATATATATAAATACATAGTGCGACATCTGTGCGCCACTCAAATATTATGATACATAAGAATATTTATAAACCACTTAACCTCTAATTAAATCCATGTGGGCTGTTCTATAATATCTATTCATCATGGAATCAAAATAATAATTTGAGTCTCAACATCACCAATTAAATAAATATTGTGCTGCAAAATTAATCTTGATTTTTGATTTGATTGTTGATTTTTAGATCATTCAAATCAGGTGCTTAGTTCTCTCAAAAACTGCCCTTTCTTGCACATTTAGCTCGGAATCTGCAAAACAGCAGGACCTGCCTTTGCCAAAAGTTAATAATCACTTCTCCGCATCATTACTAATTGAATGATTTTTAAATCTAATAAATTTATTAAAGTTTTATGGATAAGTGTTTGAGGGCCAAATTTTTATTCTGAAAGAACATCATGATCCACTAAATTAATATTAGCACCAATTTTCATGCTAGTTGGGTGATGGGATAGAAAATTAACGTATCTGCCTGTCCACGTAGGTTTTTGATACCAGTGGGTAATGATTTTATTTTCTGGAGTTTTATTGATATTGTAGTCGAAAAAACTTATTGAATTATTGCGCTCCTTTTTAAAAGTGATAGTGAGATGTTTAGTGAGAGTTAAAAAAATTTCAAAGTGATCGAAATTAATCGCAGTAATACAAGTAAAAAAACATTGAAGAGCTTAAAAACTTTTTTTAGAGGTGTTTTTTTAATGGTTTGATTGATTGAATTTTGAAGGACCAATTGTAAAATACTCTAATTATAACTGTATATATTTATTTTATATTAATTACAATATGTTTTTAATATCGTAATGATTGACTTTTTTATATGATTTCGGATTGATGCAATTGAACATGAGGTATTGAAAGAGTTCAGCGAAGGCAGGTGAATTAAGAGATCCCATAGGTGTACTGAAAATTTATGAGTAGAACTGTGAATTGAATTCGAAGTAGGTGTTTGAGACTATAAATTTAGTCGACTCTCGAAACCATGAATAGACAGTGTGGTTGGGCAGCAATCTCGTCTTATCTAGCCGAGATAGAATCTAATATTAGTTCCAGTGGGACTTTCGTAAAATGGGAAACTATATCTTCTAGACCAGTGTTTCCCAACGTGGGGCGCACGTCCCACCGGAGGGCAATTTGTAAATTCAGGGGAGCAATTGCAAAACTCTGGATACTACATTTACTTTTTTGCTTCAAAATACTTATTAGATTTTACAAAAAAAGAATTATTAAATATAAATAACTTCCCGTAGGGAAAGTTATTGTAATCATCCAAAAATCGAAATTAAAAATGTTTACGTTTCTCGACGTTTTGAAGGTTTCTGAAGATTTTGGCATACCTCAGAAAAAAAGGATGTGTATATGTATGTATGGATACAATTTTCGTCTACGTTTTCGGGCGCACGGATCAACCGATTTGAATGGTTTGAAAAACATTCGATTCCTATTGATAGGAAGATGTGCTGATTAGTTTTTGGCAAAGGCAGGCCCAGGAATATTTTTTTCTCCAAACGACATCTATTTTTTAACTGGACCCTAATCCTTCCTTCCCTATCTGATTGCGTGACTATTCAATTTCAAGTGGTTTCCAAGTGGTTAGAGAATGCGGACACCGACGACCGTTGGTGTGGCAGAGGACAGTGTATCGAGCGACTTGTAACGCATAACACATAATGCTAATTTAGGTTTCCATATTTTAAATTTTAAATTATAACACACTGATGATGAGACAAACCTAGTCTCGAAACGTTTGTGAAAATTATTATTTAATACTTTAGTGCAAAAAAGAGTGTTGTTTGTTCATATTTCCAAATTAATATATATTATATATATATATATATATATATATATATATATATATATATATATATATATGATGAAAGTTTTGTCGACGTTGATACATATTTGTAAAATTTTTGAGCCCAACCGTCGAATTAAAAAAAGATTAAATAACAAAATTATTTATTCCATTATACGTTTCGACACTTGATGTGTGTCATCATTCAGTAATCTAAAAAAACATTTAACATAAATACACAAGTGATGATAAATATAAATATAAGGTTGTCAAATATCTCCCTTCCGCCTTTTTGTCTTTTGAATTTCGCGGCTATGTACAAAGCGCTACAGAGCTCGTATCTGGCGAAACTATACATAATTTGAAAGGTCTTGACATAACCAACAAAACGACGCTATGCATGATTAGTTTGGATATTGCGTTCAACAGTTATAGACGTGTAAACATGGAGTTCACTAACGCCGAAATTCGCGCTATTTTAAAGTTTTCCTTCGTTAAAGGCAAATCCGCTAGAGAAACGTTCCGTGAGATTAATGGTGTTTTGGGGGATGGTACTCTATCACTTCGAACCGCGGAGGAATGGTTTCGACGATACAGAGCCGGTGAAAACGACACCATGGATAAGCCAGCCGGCGGAAGACCTGTGACGACAAATACCGATCAAATCATGGAATACATCGAGTTAGACCGGCATGTGGCATCTCGTGACATCGCCCAGGAGATGGGAGTTAGTCACCAAACCATTTTAAACCATCTGCAGAAGGCTGGATACAAAAAAAAGCTTGATGTTTGGGTGCCGCATGATTTGACGCAAAAAAACCTTCTGGACCGAATCAACGCCTGCGATATGCTGCTGAAACGGAACGAACTCGACCCATTCTTTAAGCGGATGGTGACTGGCGACGAAAAATGGATCACATACGACAATATCAAGCGAAAACGGTCGTGGTCGAAGGCCGGTGAATCGTCCCAAACAGTGGCCAAGCCGGGATTGACTTGGGATTGAATTTGTGTAAAATAATAAAATACTATTAATTAACAAACGAGAAATAGGAGGAGCACATATTGCCCTCATAACATATTTAATGTTATGGTAGCATAGCGTTGTGTGCACTGTTCAAGGCTAAATCGCAGTGTAGGCAACGCACGTGTATGGGAGTGGGAGGAGTAGCAAGAACGAAAGGGGAAAGAAAAACAGAGAAGAAATATAACGAATGAAAGATTCTAAAACTGTATTGAATTACTTTTTATGAAATTAATAATTACTTTGTAACTATCATGTAAGAGATGAGAGGAATTACGTTTGTTTACACAAGACATATTGAGGGATATAAGTAAAGACTCAACTATCTTTCTATGGTCACCGTTTTTTTCAATATAAAGGATTGAGGGATTTGACATGTTAAAAGTGTGGTTCAGGTTTATCATATGTTCAGAAAGCATCGTTTTGAATTGATTTGGGTTTCTGGAATTATAAGTATGTTGATTAACCCTCTTGTATATATATTGGAAAGTTTCACTAATGTAACAACTATTGCAATCATTGCAGTCCAACCTGTAAACAGAATCAGTAATCCTATCAGCGGGAGTTTTTGATTTAAGAGGAGAAAAAAGGCAACGGAAAGTGTTATCAAAACTGAAAACCAAAAGAAAACCTTCAGCGGCAAATAACTTTTTTAAAAAATAAGAAAAACTGCTTAAAAAAATTAGATTTTGAAAAAGAATTGTTAAGATAGGAAGAACTGTTTAAATTGTTTTGTAAAAACTCTAATCTATTTTTAATGACGTTATTTACTAAATATGAAGGATAAGAATTATTATTCAAAACAGCACGAACTAAAGATAGTTTTTTTCCAAAAAATCTTATCACTTAACAAAATGGCCCTATCTATTAAGGAAATGACAACTGAAATTTTTATGGAACGAGAGTGATAAGAAAAATAATTTAAATATCGGCCAGACCAAGTTGGTTTTTGGAACCAGTCAGTGAGGATGACATGATTATTTCTTATAAGTTTTAAGTCTAAGAAACTGATAGAATTACTAGCTTCAAGTTCACAAGTGAACTGCAAATGCTTATTAAAAGAATTAAAAGAATTTAAAGTGTGGGATACATAATCATTATCTAAACACAAGAGGATGTTATCAACATATCTATAATAAAAATAAGGTTATATATAAGGGTATATATATATATATATATATATATATATATATATATAGTGTGTGTGTGTGTACGAGGTGTGTTTAAAAAGCACACGATTTTTTTTAATGTTTTGGGTCCGGAAAGAACTATTAACAAACTTTTCTATCAACAAACTGTGTTTTTATGGCTCGTTGACTTTTGCTTTTGAAAGAAAACGCTATGTTTTCTTGTCTTTCTTCAACTTTGGCTACAGGAAACAATCATATGGAGCCATTAAAACAAAACTTCCGGGGCCACTCTAAACACTTCTTTTTTTACAGCAGACTCATCATGGGCTTTTCCTAACATTTCACAAACTTTGTTAAGCTTTATCTAAAATTTTACGAAAAAAATAATTCAATTTGCTGGACTTTTCCAGTCTTCCAACAAGCAAAAATCGCATCAAAACACGTCGAACCTTAGCGGCTACTACAGCCAAAGAAAGCAGTAAATATAGCAAAAAATTTTATCATCAAATTCCACTTTAGGGGCATCTATATCGACACAATAAAAAAGTTTGTTAATCCGTAAAATTAAAAAATTGCGTGTAGTTTTAGAACGCATCTCGTATATTAAATGTGTGATCATTAAGCAATAAAAAACAAATCTTACTTTGCAACAATTAACTATTAAACTTGCATGCCCACGACACTAACAATTTGTCGAATTGTGCAATTATCATATTATAAAAGCACGCTTAAGATAATTACACGAGCAAGCAACTCACCTTATAGCAATCACACGACGACAATATGAATATATTCATTCACATATTGTCAAGTCGCCCAAAAAAGAGGTTAGCTGTCAAATTGTAGTATAGATACGATGCATAGATAAAAGAAGAGTTTCACGTTTCGCTGGAGGAGAGACTTGACATAAGTAGCTTCTCGCAGTGATGTTGACAGATGCACATGATGCCTCTGCGCATGGCTTAGTGTGTTAAAATGATGTGAAGTTCGCGGCATTTTATATCAAGGCTGACCCACAATAATAGGAAAGTTAATAAATAAACTAGTGGGACGCATGGCATCTTGCCTTAAAGCAAATTGCTGGAACTTCCCGTACCAAAAATTATTTTTTTTAAAAAGATTAACATTTTAAACAATTAAAATCGGACGCTCCGTTCTCTTAAAAACTGAGTTACCGTTTTTGGCACTTTTTGCCTCATATCTTCGGAACGGCTAGACCTGCCTTCGCCAAAAACTAATCAGCACGTCTCCTTATCAATAGGAATCGAATGTTTTTTGAATTATTCAAATCGCTTCATCCGTGTTCCCGAAATCGTCGACGAAAATTTGTATCCGCACACACACACACACATACATCCATTTTTTCTAATTATAAGGTATGCCAAAATATTCAGAAACCTCTGAAACGTAGATATATAAAAATTTTCATTTTCGATTTTTTGCGATTACTATAACTTACCCTACGGAAAGTTAAAAATAAATATATGAATTTAGTAATTTGATATATGATTTTAATCATTTGAAATTAGTAATTTGATTCGATTTGCTTGAAATTAAATAATTAACTTCAATAATTTGATCCATTATTCTATTCAATTTAATCATTTGACTTTATTGAATTTAAACACTCAAATTATTATCACTTGAACATTCACTTTAGTATTTTACAGGTATGTATTTTGCTGGTTAGTTAATTTATGTTTAAATTTCAAATGATCACTAAATATTTATCCTGGTCGTACGGACAATATTAAGGTAATCATTGTTTAAATATAAACAACATTAGGTAAATAGAATTAATATCATTTTATTAATTTATAAATACTTCATTAAAATTATATTAATTAATAATATATTATATTATATTAATGTACTTAATTATTATAATTACTTCAGCTAAGTTTAACTTTCTAAACTGAAGACTAAAATTACACATTTTATATAATAAATTTTGTTGTATACATCTACATAGACCGAATTCAGGAATTTCCTGTAATCTGTATATATGCAGACAACTAAACATTGTCAATTTTTCTGAAGAGTAATATGATTCGAATAAAAGATAAATTTCTGCAATGAACAGTTTCCTTTTAGATTAAAAGGATTAAAGAATTTACTTACTCTACTCTAAAAATATATCAATGCACGCTCGCACATGCTTCTGGTGCTTTATCATTCAATTAAAATTAAATTATAGAATAATCATAGAATATTCAAAAATAATTCTTAACAAATATAATGTTTCATAATAAAAAATATGCAATTGAGTAATAGAATATATGTAGTACTATTCTGCTAGGAAATTTTCTTGCTTAACTGCGCCAATTTCTTCTAGATGACTTTGAAAACCGTCGGGCACTCTTCCTTCATCCAAATCTACAGCCCATTGTCGATACTGAAATATATTCAATTTGATTACTTCAAATGTTTGCAATATTTATGTGTGTGGAATCATTTCATATTTTAAATAATTGAATAATTGAATGAGGAAGCCGCCGCTCCGGCGGCAAAATTCATATGAATCTCGGAGTTCGCCAGTGGAAAGTGTTCAAAGTTGATAAAATAAGTTTTTTAACTTCCCGTAAGTTATAGTAATCGCAAAAAAATCGAAAATGAAAATTTTTATATTTCTTTACGTTTCAAAGGTTTCTAAACATTTTGGCATACCTTAGAAAAAATGGATGTATGTGTGTGTGTGTGTGTGTGTGTGTGTGTGTGTGTATGTGCGTGTGTGTATGTATGTGCGGATACAAATTTTCGTCGACGATTTCGGGAACACGAATCAACCGATTTGAATAATTAAAAAAACATTCGATTCGTATTGATAAGGAGACGTGCTGATTAGTTTTTGGCGAAGGCAGGTCTAGCCGTTCCAAAGATACCGTGCAAAAAGTGCCGAAAACAGTAACTCAGTTTTTAAGTGAACGGAGCGCCCGATTTGAATAATTCAAAAAACATTTCACTTGCATTGACAAGATGAAGAATTGATCAAATTTTCATGAAGACAGGTCTAGCGGTTTCGGAGATCTAATGAAAAAAGTAAAAAAAAAAATGCCATTCGGCGGTTAAAAATGATCATTAGACATATGCACATCAAATTATCAGATATTTTATAGAGATTTTAACAATAAGTATATTTTTTTTTTACATTTCTATGGGTTCCGTACCAATGCTTATGCGTTAGACGGCGGCGCGGCACTTGCGCGCTTTGACATTGCGTCTCTATGCAGTTCAAGCAGTACGATTGCTTTGAAAAAAAAGTTCAGAATTTCCAAAATATGTCAAAATGAAGAAAACATTTTTCTTTTCAACAAAATTTTGTTCTCAAAAAAATTTTTTTTTTTCAAAATTAACTAATTTTTTCGAAGTAAATTTTTTTCAAAAATGTTAATCGTTTTTAAAAAAATAATTTTTCGTACGGGAAGTTCCAGCAATTAGCCTTAAGGCACGATGCCTTAATTGCCTCAAGACAGAATTCCACTTACAGCTAGTTAATCTTAACATATGCAGTAATATATAGCATTAGTAGAAGTAGGAACATAACATTCATATAATGGACAAGAGATAAATTGAAAATTTGAATGAAATTTTTATTAGAAACTAGCAAACCCGACGAACTCCGTTTCGCCACCAGATGGTTTCGTGAGAAAGATGAAGTAATTTTTTGTTCGTTTTATATTTGAAAAGAAAAAAATTGATTTTATTGCACAACAGTAATGAATTTATTTCCATTACAAAAATGAAGTGTTTTTTAGATGAACTTCTCTAAGTAAATAAAAGTGAATCCGCAAATTATACGTTTCATTGTGCTCTTTGGTAAACCACATTTTTTGTTGTTTGGTCTGACGTTAACACAAACAAAGCGGATGGTTTTCCAACTCGTGCACAGGCAACGTATAACTGCCAAAGTGAAAAACAATGATTTTCTAAGTAATCTATTTGAGATTTATCCCGCAAACACTAAGCGATTGGCCTTGCGACTTGTTAATCGTCATTGCAAACGCAAGGCGAACTCGAAATTGCAATCGTTTGAAGTCAAACGGAAGACCAGTCAGAATCATTGGTATGTCACCAAATCGCCAGCAATTTTTGATTGAATGGTGAAATTCAGTGCGTGTACATCATTATTCTTTGCGGCAAATATTCTTGTTGACTTAACCAAGCATAATTCTGATAATTCTCACTAATGTCATTACTCGAATTTTCAATTACGGTGCGTGAAGTTCCAGCAATTTGCATTAGGCACGATGCCATGCACCACTGACTTTTCTTACCTATAAACCTTGCGGAGCCCGAGACCTTTCCAACGAATGCAAAATTGTCGAAATCGGTTCGTGCGTTCTGGAGTTATTTCGTCAAGAAGGAAAACCCGACTTATTTTTATATATATAGAAGATAATGTATGCATTGAAAATAGTCATACCTTTTCAAGTTCTTTGCGCAAAGCAAAAACAGCCTTTTCTCGATCTGCTACCAATTCTTCTAAATATTGATATCGTAATTTTTTTCTGGCTCTGCATTCTCTAGCGCTTTGCCTGCTGCGTTCTATACAAAATAAAAGAATGTTAAGCCCCTGTGTAAATATCTTTATATTATAATATGAAAATTCAATAGTAAATCTGCAAAGGATAAACTAGAGGGTGCATTGCATCGTGGCTTAGGGCAAATTGCTGGAACTTCCCGTATCGTACCAAAATGTTCGAGGAATATTGAATGTTTTCAAATTCAAATTTTTCAATATTCAAATAGATTATTATTAATATTGTAACAATGTCTAATATTTATAAGAATTATATAAACTGATTTAATTGATTTAAAGAACTTTCTGCTTGTCTTAATAAAATAATTGATTTTGAAAAAAAAATTTTGTTTCAATTTTTTTTCATTTTTTTTTTTAAATTTTTTGTATAAAGAAAATAATTCAGATTTTATTTTTAATTCTGACTATAGTTCAAATATACTTCAAACAAATAATTTCAACTTTGCAATTCAGTTTATATAATTCTTATAAATATTCGACAATGTTACAATATTTATAATAATCTATTTGAAAACATTCAGTATTCCTCGAACATTTTGTTACGATACGGGAAGTACCAGCAATTTGCCTTAAGGCACGATGCCACACACCCCACTAGTTTAATTTCTCATATTTTATGTATAAAACAATTAAATTGATGATCTTAATATCTAAATATTCACTAATAAATTTATTCACATATAATACCTATAATTTAGCTTTTACATCTACTTTTTCAGTAGAAGATTTTCTTCCAGGTTTGCGACCTCGTTTACCACCCTCCTTGCGTTCAACCCTCATACTGTCCTGAGAAAATATATAAAAATAAGTAAATTTTTTTTCAACAGTTAATTACAAGAAAACGGCTCGGTAGATTTTCACCTAAAATTAATCAGTACCATTCCCAACTAATATCTTTCGAACAGTTTTTGATTTTTTAAAATCGGTTCGGTAGGATGAGCTTAAATGTGGACGAAAAGTTTAACATTTTTTTCAACAGTTAATTACAAGAAAACGGCTCGGTAGATTTTCACCTAAAACTAATCAGTATCATTCAAAACTAATATCTTTCAAGAGTTTTTGATTTTTTAAAATAGGTTCGCTAGAATGAGCTTAAATGTGGACGAAAAGTTTAACACTTTTTTTCAACAGTTAATTACAAGAAAACGGCTCGGTAGATTTTCACCTAAAACTAATCAGTATCATTCCAACTAATATCTTTCGAACAGTTTTTGATTTTTTAAAATCGGTTCGGTAGGATGAGCTTAAATGTGGACGAAAAGTTTAACACTTTTTTTCAACAGTTAATTACAAGAAAACGACTCGGTAGATTTTCACCTAAAATTTATCAGTACCATTCCCAACTAATATCTTTCGAACAATTTTGATTTTTTAAAATCGGTTCGGTAGGATGAGCTTAAATGTGGACTAAAAGTTTAACACTTTTTTTCAAATTACAAAGAAACGGCTTGGCAGATCGTTGCACAAAACTGACAAACGATAGTCCTCACCGAAATACATCAAATAGCTTTTAAATTTCTAAAATCGGTTCAGGCGTTTTTGAGGAAAACGTCGATCAAATGTCTAATTTTGACAAATGCCAAAAAGACCATACTGATTTTTGCAAACTTTGACGAATTTTTAAAGCTGAACCAGTTGTCGTAGGGCCGTAATATTTAGTATGACCTAGAAAACTATGGTATCTATCGTCAAAAAAATAATCATAAAAAATCGTCGAATTTTTTTTTTTTAACTTTATTACAAGAAAACGGCCCGGCCGATCTTTACCAAAAACTAATCAGCACGATTCCCAACCAATATCTATCGAACGGTTTTTGAATTTCAGATCGATTCAGAATTGCGGGCTAAAACGTGGACGAAAAAATTTTCACTTTCTGCAATTTACAAAGAAACGGCCCGGCCGATCGCCGCACTCAGAGACGATAGTCCTCATCAAATGGCTTTTAAATTTTTGAAATCGGTCCAGCCGTTTTGGAGAAAATGCCGATTTACGGCAAAAAATCTGTTCACACACACACACACACACACACAATACACACACACACATACTTTTTCCAAATTTGGTCTCATTCGATTCAGAATGGCTCGAAACGTCGAGAAAACAAAATTAGCGATTCGGATTTTTTGATGGAAAACATAAACTTCTCTTCGGGAAGTTAAAAAAGACTATATAGCAAAGAAAAAGGCTAAAAAATACTACTAAAATAACTTAAAATTATTTCAAAATACAACACTGTTTATCACTGCTATATGTAATTTATTTAACTTTTCGATGTAAACTGAGTCATTGTTTATAGAATAGCCAGTGCCTCACAGAGAATGTTTGTCCACTCAGGTGGACAGCCGTCCCCAAAGAGTTAACATGGCACCCACAATATTGATGACAAAAGTGCAAGGTTAAATTCTTAAGTCAAATATTCTCGATGCCATCAGTATTACAAATCCCACAACACGCACAACACAAAAACTGATAAAAAAGAAAAACACTACAATCAACCAAAAACAAAACGCGGGCCACGAAAAGCGAACTTTATGCTTTGTACAAAATAATCAATAAATATATAAAAAATGATTACTTAAAATACTGAAAAAAACACTATAAAGAGTCACCTACATCTTTCTGGTAGCACGAACAGACCATTTAAAGTACTTCTTAAAAATAATTGTTGGATAAAAGAATTAAACTAGTGGGTCGCATGGCATCGAGCTTAAGGCCAATTGCTGGAACTTCCCTTACCGTAATTCAACATTCAAAGAATAAAAATAATTAGGCCGGGCGGAATCATATCCGTCCGGAGTTATAACCCGAGTGTAGTCATATTCGACCAAAGTTATATCCGAGCGGAGTTATATCCGACCGGAGTCATATGCGACCGGAGTCATATCCGAGCGGAGTCTTGTCCGACCGGAGTCATATGCGACCGGAGTCATATCCGAGCGGAGTTATATCCGAGCGAAGTCATATCCGAGCGGAGTCATATCCGACCGGTGTCATATCCGGCCGGAGTCATATCCGACCGGAGTTATATCCGACCGGTGTCATATCCGAGCGGAGTCATATCCGGCCGGAGTTATATCCGAGCGGAGTTATATCCGAGCGAAGTCAAATCCGACCGGAGTCATATCCTACCGGAGTTATATCCGACCGGTGTTATATCCGATCGGAGTCATATCCGAGCGGAGTTATATCCGAACGGAGTCATATCCGACCGGTGTCATATCCGACCGGAGTCATGTCCGACCGAAGTTATATCCAAGCGGAGTCATATCCGACCGGAGTTTATCCGACCGGTGTCATATCCGACCGGAGTCATATCCGAGCGGAGTTATATCCGAGCGAGGTTATATCCGAGCGGAGTTATATCCGAGCGGAGTTATCCGACCGGAGTTATATCCGACCGGAGTTATATCCGACCGGTGTCATATCCGACCGGAGTCATATCCAAGCGGAGTCATATCCGACCGAAGTTATATCCGACCGAAGTCATATCCGAGCGGAGTCATATCCGACCGGAGTTATATCCGAGCGGAGTCATATCCGAGCGGAGTTATATCCGACCGGAGTCATATACAACCGGAGTCATATCCGAGCGAAGTTATATCCGAGCGAAGTTATATCCGAGCGGAGTTATATCGGACCGGAGTCATATCCGAGCGGAGTTATATCCGACCGGAGTCATATCCGAGCGGAGTTATATCCGACCGGAGTCATATCCGACCGGAGTCATATCCGACCGGAGTCATACCCGAGCGAAGTTATATCCGAGCGAAGTTATTTCCGAGCGGAGTTATTTCCGAGCGGAGTTCATATCCGACCGGAGTCATATCCGACCGGAGTCATATCCGAGCGGAGTCATATCCGAGCGGAGTCATATCCGACCGGAATCATATCCGACCGGAATCATATCCGGCTAGAGTCATATCCGACCGGAGTTATATCCAACCGGAGTCATATCCGAGCGGAGTTATATCCGACCGGTGTCATATCCGAGCGTAGTTATATCCGACCGGAGTCATATCCGACCGGATCATATCCGGCCAGAGAGTCATATCCGAGCGGAGTCATATCCGAGCGGAGTCATATCCGAGCGGAGTCATATCCGAGCGGAGTCATATCCGAGCGGAGTCATATCCGAGCGGAGTTATATCCGACCGGAGTCATATCCGAGCGGAGTTATATCCGACCGGAGTCATATGAGACAGGAGTCATATCCGACGGAGTCATATCCGACCGGTGTCATATCCGACCGGAGTCATATCCGAGCGGAGTTATATCCGAGCGGAGTTATATCCGACCGGAGTCATATCCGACTGGAGTCATATCCGACCGGAGCCATATCCGACCGGAGCCATATCCGACCGGAGTAATATCCAAGCGGAGTCATATCCGACCGGAGTTATATCCCACCGGAGTCATATCAGAGCAGAGTTATATCCGAGCGAAGTTATATCCGACCGGAGTCATATCCGATCGGAGTCATATCCGACCGGAGTCATATCCGAGCGGAGTTATATCCGACCGGAGTCATATCCGAGCGGAGTTATATCCGACCGGAGTCATATCCGACCGGAGTCATATCCGACCGGAGTTATATCCGACCGGAGTCATATCCGGCCGGCCAGAGTCATATCCGAGCGGAGTTATATCCGACCGGAGTCATATCCGAGCGGAGTTATATCCGACCGGAGTCATCCTAGCTGGATAAATGAGTAAATTGTGTAAAAGCATTTTTATGCTCAAATATTCTTTTAGTTATTTTTTTAAATCGGCGTTGCATATTCAAAATCAACAATCAACAACAATGTATTTACGACAAATGTACATTTCTGACTAAAATAATTTATAAACAATGTAAGAAAGCCTAATAAAGTATATTATGTATGCATATTGCATTCTGTATGAATATTTAATTTTATTTGTTTTTCTTCTTGTAATTTCTTTTAGAAATAATTAAAGATTAAATCAATCATTATCTGAATTAAATAATGAAATAGATAATATTTTCATTGTAGGTCAATTTAACAGCGCGCATTAGGTGAATACATTGATATTGTTCTTAAACACAACTTGATGATTTGGTTATTATTTAACTCACAGCAATAATCTTACAGTTTGTAACAAAAAAAATATAATATCACAGGTATAATACTAGCTCTGTCATATTCGACATTCCAAAACCACACTGGACTATCCAAACCATACTGGTTAATTCAAAAAAGGAAAAGAAACTATGCTGATTAGAGATGGGCTTATCATATCCGAAGCCAGATCGGCTGGGATTTGACTCCACTTCAGGGAGGAGTTATATCCACTAACAACTCCACAACTCCGACAACTTTGAAACATAACACTTGACACAAATGTGTTCTCTAGTGTGTTGAACATATCTAAGGATTTATTAAGACTTTGGAAATAGTTCACAAATAGTACACACAATTTATTCATTTTATTACAATAATACTATTTTGGCATTTCAATATGCATACAAATCTCAAATTGACAAAAACTTGGGAATCAAAATCATTTTGTAATTATTTTTAAATAAAAATAATCCAGTGAACTTTATATGAAACAAGATCAAATCTGTGTGTATAATATTTTCACAAAATAATAATACCTCACATTCTCTTTATATAATTTCCCTTTTCGAGAATTAATTATATATCAGGTAGTAGATTTTACACAATTATAAAATCATAATTGTGTAAAAGTTATAATATAATATAAATATTTTTAGCTGATTGTATACCATAGAAAA